AGGTCCAGGGCTCCAGTCATACCCACTTCAGAGGGTGGGGATGCGCCTTATGCATAACATTGCCCAATATTCACATATAACCTGCACACACACTTTTTTTTTTTTTTTTTTTTTTTTTTTGAGACTATGTGCTTCAGGCTGACCTTGAACTCAGTGAGCGATACTACTCTTAAGCCTCTTGTGTGTAGGAACTACAGGTATGCATCACCATGCCTGGCTCCTTCAGTATATGTGCTTGAAGTCGTCTCTCAATTACATAACCCTCATACAATGTAAATACTGTATAAAAGGGTCTACACTATATTTTTTTTCTACACTGTATTTTTAAAGGAATAATGACAAAGTCATTTTTTTTGTTCCTGAATTGTTTCCACCTCGGTTGACTGGCGCGGAACTCTTGGATGTGGAGGAGTGACTGTAGCTTGTCACCTGCTTTGCCACACTGTTTATAGACAAGCAAGCGCCTAAGGAAACACTCCAGGGCCTCTCAGCTGGGGTTACCGGGTACCTGTGCTGCACACCTGTTACCGTGTAAGTCTTTCTGTACCCTTTTCTGATTTCACTCTCATCTTGGCCAGAAGAGTGACTTTCTCACCCACATTTGTACTTTTAGTACATTTGTGTTTTCAAAAATATCGTTGCTCTGTCTATATGCTTTAATTCTCTATAGTACCTCTTAGGAATTCTGCAAATGGCATTTTTCTAGGCTTACTGCATGTCTGCTGTGCATATTACATTTTATTCTTTTAGAGCTTTTTTTTTTTTTTTTTCAGTGTTACTGACTGAACTTAGGGGGTACTGTCAGGCCCTCCCCCGTTTTTATGTACAGGGTCTCACTATGAAGCTCAGACTCATGGTGATCTTCCTGTTTTCAGCCTCCCCAGTGCTGAGATTACAGGTGTGGTCTACCGTGCACAAACTAGGTGGCCAGCTCAGTGTGCCCAGGAGGTGGGTAGGTGGGCCGAGGGAGCGGCGCAGCATGCGGTACCGGGAATTGAAACCCCTGTCCCGACGCTTGCCTAAGCAGGCGCTTAGTCTGCTGGGCTAGTTGCCGGGTCATTGTCATAAATTTTCTTTTCTTTTCTTTTCTTTTCTTTTCTTTTCTTTTCTTTTCTTTTCTTTTCTTTTCTTTTCTTTTCTTTTCTT